TATCGAACGGTTCAATATCAATACGAATATTGTTGCACCCCTAATTTATACCTATATTTATTAATGGGGCCCTGATGCTACTTTGTAAGAAAAAAAACTCTTAAAAACATGGAAACATTATCGAGTGAAATATTAGCCAACTTTATTCTATGCTGGTTAGCATGCAATGTTTAAAAAAATAATAAATAAGATAAGTATGGTAAAAGAAATGTGGTAATGAAAGCTTAAATATGTCAAGAAGCTATCACTGATTATTGAATATTATATAATAGTTAGATATACATAGATTTAACTACATGTACTCCACTCTGGTATACAAGTTATTGCAGATCAATGCATTTATTGATCACTACTGAAATGCAGCACCGTCGGCCTACTTTCACGCTAAACTTCCGGGAATAACAACGTGACTCTCCAGTCAACGGCGCTAATGTTTACTGACGTAATTTCCGGTGTTTTGTAGCCACATAAGTTGCAGTCACTGGTCAGCGCTAACTATTCATAATAAAAGCGTGAAATAGCGGGATGAATTTACATTATTGTACACACTATTGCACACGTATTTTTAACGTTGCCTAGCTTCTGAGAATTGTATAAGTTAACATGTCAAAAGAATATAGAGCAAATGGGCCTTTAACGTAAAACATGTTTCGTGATCTTTTCCAATACCAGTTTTATTTTGAAAGCTTTCGCGTGAAGTTTTAATGTGCAATATAGTCGACTTCCTGTCCGGATCCTTAGCGTGATTTGTGAGAGCGGGAAGAATCACAGTAAGTACAGTAGATGTAAACAGCTGTATATTTTGCTGTTTTGTTTACAAATATGCAAATGTATGTCTTTAGTGACAGGCGTGACCAGTGTAACCATGGGATACTCTAGTAGTACAGTAATGGTGCAGCTCGTAGTATTAGCTCTTGCTTGGTATTCGAGCAAAAACGTTCAAGCTAACGCATCACTTTCTCCAGCTTTTCCTATCTGGGTGACGTCTTCAGACAGAAGAAATAGTGTAACTACTGCAGGCTACTTCGCAGTGCGTTAGTTGTATGTTACTGTACCTTACACACCTAACTCGTGTTACTCTGAACTTTTGTCGGGACAGGCGAGCATGACTTCATCACCAGTGGAGTACACCATTGGAGGGGTGAAGATCCACTTCCCCTGCAAGGCTTACCCGTCCCAGCTGGCTATGATGAATTTAGTGAGTCGCATCCATCTGTGCTTCCTTGTGCAGTGACAGAGGCTGTGCCAGGCTACACGTGTCTTTCTTTCAATGTCTCTGGTCATGAAAAAACTCAAAACCACACTTAATGCTGATTAAATGACGCTCACCTCCTGATGCACTGCTTCACTACATTATTAAAATATTTTACCAAAAAAAAAAAAAGCAGTCTGCTGTGATCTGACTCACTACTAGTACCGTTCATTATACATTAGCTTATAATAAAGTGGTTTTCCTGTAAAAATTGTTTTGATATCCAAACTTTAAAAAAAAAAAAATCAAGAAAAAAAACACATTACTAAATAATAATGTATAATGAACGGTACTAGTAGTGAGTCAGATCAATACACAACATGCAATCATAGCATAGTTTCTACTATGATCCTGCAAACCTCGCTGTTCCTTTGTCTGACTTATGCATGTATTTGCATTTTGAAAATGTAAGTTTGGCTCTTCTCCCTAAGTTCTTCATAAAGTTTAGTATGGTTGCACAGTCACATGTACCCTTTGCACAAAGCAAACAGACTGCTACACCTGCAAGCTTAATAACATGTTTCCCTTGAGATAGGCGAAGGGAGGTTTTCACCCATCCTAGACATACTCCTGTACAGTCCTCCAAGATCCTAATCTCACATTCACATTAGCTCGCAGGGAACGTGATAACTGGTTAAAACAAAAAAACCACCCTGAACATAATGTGGAGCATAAACCGTGGCTGTAGTGGACATTTCATTTTTTTTCACTTCAGCGTTGTATGTTTTAACTTAGCTCTTCTCTGTTGTTTTGTAGATTGTACGAGGTTTGAACACAGGGCAGTACTGTTTACTAGAGTCTCCAACTGGAAGTGGAAAGAGCTTGGCGTTGCTTTGTTCAGCTCTGGGTTGGCAGCATGCACAGTTTGGTAAGCCTGGTATGACTGAGTGCATGTACATGTAAAATTCAAGTTGGATGATATACTTGCACTTTATCTATACAATGAAATCTGCTTTTTCTGTCATATTTAAACTGCTCCAGTGGATACTCATAAAACTGTTTAGCTTAGCGTATGGACGAAGACTCCCTGTGAGTCTAAAACCAGGTCTTAAAGTTTTTCTGCTCTTAACTCTTTATGGTGCCAGAGCCGCTCATAGCTCTGGCTGTGAGTATAGAAGCCCCCACCGAGTTGGTGTTTATACCTCTTGTTTATGATTGGCAGCCTATTAAAACAATATTAGATTAAAGGTAATGATGAGGGAGCTAAAATGACTTATTTCAAACAATGGATTAAGATCAGTACGGATTATTTTAAATTATGATTCACGTGATAAAAATATTGAGCTAAATGGGTAAATTAAGACTTTAGTTTAACCACTGACTCATTTCTTTTGTTCTTACTGTTTTCTTGTAAGTATAATTTCATTTTTTCTTATACACAAAAAACTAATAGCCACTCAGGGTCAATGTTACTGACAGTTCTCTGTTTCACTATCGGATTATAGCCAAACTGCAGGAAGGAGGAAGCACCGGTCCAGACAAGAGCCACAAGTCCGACTCCCCCACGTCTTGCAAGTGTGGGTGTCACAGCAAATCCAGCAGGAACAAGGCAACAGCAGCAGACAAACATGCTGTTGTGGACCTCACTGTGTCACCCTCTAAAGACACGGCTCAGCCGTCGACTTCAGCACAAGAACCCAGTAAGTAGACCTGGGTTTTAGTTGTGAAACACACAGCACCTGAACCTGTACTCCTGTTGTTACAATGGTACCTGCAGCCACTAGTCACTCGATTAACTCGTAGTTAGCTGTTGATCACCTGCAGTTTTATGTTACACAGTGCAGCGTTTGGTTTTTGTCCTTAAAAACGTTGTTGCAGAACCCGGTCAGTGCTCTGTGTATGGCTTATTTGTGTCAGCACAGATACGGTTCACAGTTTTACTGGTGTTTATGTCCACTGCCACTATCTTTGATTGTTAAATTGGGGCTGGTTGGGCTGCTCTGACTTAAAGTCCGTCTTTAAGGGGCATTCGAGTAGAAATTCAGACGAGCAAATCTGAAATTCTGGCATTAGTAATGTTATTTCTGTGGGCAGAATAATTAAATAGGAGGGAGAGTGGGTATGTCTCTGCTTGCATGGACTATCCAATCAATCACAACAGTTCCAAGGATGACTGATATTTGAACATGTCCTTAGTTAAATCACCCTTTCACTTACTGCCATTTAGGGCTGGGTGTCGCCACTGATTTCTAGGATCGATTCGCTTCGATCCACGATTTGATTTGAATCGGGAAAATTTTGCCTCAGACAGTCAGAAATATTATAATTCTGTGCATTTATCAGCACATCTCTATATTTTTATATCTATAAAAAGACAGCTGACACTTGTGAGACGTCATCAGAGGTGTGAGCATCACAGCAGATGCCTTTGTGTCAAAGTAGCTGAGGATAAAACACAGAAGTGCAAAGTTATTTTATTACGACTTTCTTGTTGGAAGTCAGTTAAATTAAAAAAAAGAAAAACTGGCCGACAGCGCTGTACATAACGGTAGACTGGTGCGTAACAAGCAAGCGAATAATGCAGAAAACAGAGATTTTTAGATGGGAAACTGTTCTCGAAGTACACAGAGAGACAGAGAGCTCTGCAGGAAGTGCGATTTTCACCGTGGTGGAAGCAAAACAGGAAAAGTCAGGGGGATGGTTGGAGAGACAAAACCTGCCACTCAGAATCTAACGCAAAAAAAGACGTAAACGCAAAGCGCGGCCCCGCCGACGCATCAGGATCTGTGAGCTGTCGGCTTTCAGCCCCGACGGCACGTCCACGGTCGGACACGCTGTCGGGAAAGCCGACAGCTCATGATGCGTTGGCGGGTCCGCGCTTTGTGTTTGTCTTTGTGCAGAATCCCTGTGCCTGCTCTCACTTTAGCTGTTTGGTGTCTGTCGAAAGTTTGTGAGGTTTAACCTGAGATTCTGGCGTTTCAGGCAAAATAAATGTATATTTAAAAATCGATTCAGGATTTTAATGAATCGATATCACATTTCAAGCTAGAATCGATTTTAATCGGAAAATCGATACTCAAAACCCCCCCTGGGACCATTAGTCCAGATTTGTGTCTTAACTTTAGTTTTTATATGAAGTCATCTGGAAATGCAGCAGCAGAACATACAGAGAAAAACTACAACAACGACCAGCTAACCTCGGCATAACTTTCACTTTGGCATTAGAATGACAACGACTCACAGTTACAATGTGTTTGTTGTATAGTCAGTCGACCCTGCGTATCCTCATTAAAAACTCTTAAAAACCAACACCAGTGTTTTGGAGCAACAGGTGCCTCCCAACAACGGCACAGTTGTTGAAGGACTCATCACAGAGGCTTGTGACACTTAAAGCATTTCATTAAACCAGTGTAGAAGATTATCTTACTAACTGTATATAAAACATCCATTCGCATGTGTTGTTTCTGTGTTTTAGTGCTTCTCCCAGAAGAAGAAGGAAGAAAACAGTCTCTAGCCTCTCGACTGTCAGAGAAGCTCCAGGCATCTCTCAGCTCCGACTGTGTGAAAGATGATGACTTCCAGCAAGACAGGAAACGCATCCGCACTGCAGAGAACACGGTAGGCACCGATGCCTGTTGTTCACTAACACCAGATTTACTCTGCGTTACATTTAAACAGTGATCGTATGCAGCATTAGCAGCTTCTGTGCTGGTTTCATTAGAATAAGAAATGCACAGATCAGTAAAGTTTCCTGTGTTTGCTTCTCAGAGCCGTAAAAGGCAGCGACTGGAGAAGGGAGTCGTGTTCACAGACGATGAGCCGGAGCTGGAAAACCAGCCAGCGGGACCTCAGAGTTGGAATGCCGAGACGAAACACCAAGCTCCCGGTTGTTCCTCTACTTCCTGCGTGAGTACGATCCAGACAGGCTCACAGGTCCTCTCCTCACTAATAGCTGAAGTAGTTAAAGTTCATAACACTGAACACCACTTTAGGAGGAATTTCAGAGATCAGCTCCCATTTCAACCACATTAAAATATTAAACAGTTATCATCAATGGTAACGTGACCAGCACACGGGTTAACGTTAGCTGTTTAACTATTAGCAATTACCCGATAGCCACATTAGCCATCTGTTATTATTAACATAGCCGCTAGTCAGGTAAAAGATGAATAATTATTGCAAACTGCACGACTGGCAGATGGAATATTGAGCTGTGACAGAGCGGATCACGGACACGTGGAGAAGCAGAGGGTTGCTGGCTGTGCAGAGCAGCAGGGGAAGTGAAGCTGATCAGAGTGTGGAGAACCAATCAGAGCAAAAGCAGAGCTGCAGACTGAGGCGCAGCAGTGGGACTGGTGGATGTAGACAGCATGACAAACTCTAATTTTTCTGCTTTTACATTCATTTATTAAAGTGTGTTTCCTGTTCTGTTGTAGCCACCTGTGAGGTCATTTTTACAATGCAGCCTGTGATCGCTGCAGTCTGTCAGTGAGCGCTCTGCTTATTATAGCTTCTTTATTTATAATACCGGTCTTCATCCAAATGTCATGAGTGCTCTTCTTTTGAATTCTACGGTAACTTAAACAGTAATTAACTTCACCATGTGTAATGAAATGATTTAAACAATTTGTAAATCAATAAAAAAAAACCCAAGCTTGATCTCAAATACCTATTTTGTTAAATCCAATATTAGTTGTTTGAGTTTAGAAAATCTGTTGAAAATTAACAGGTTAACAAGTCAGGATATGACTTCTTCAGCTTTTGTTGTTCCAGGATGGGGTCACGATCTTCCCCGTGGTTTTCTTCTGTTTGAAATTCCCGTATCGTGACAACCGTACCAGAGCCTGATAGTTGAGATGTTTTGTTGCAGAGGCTTTGTGAAAATGCTGTGTGTGAGACAGATCCAATCACTGAGACATCGTTACACTGGTGTTAGTTGTGCTTTAAAGGTTTGCTACACGGTGCCACGGGCTGACCCTCTTATGGTGGATTTTCTCGCTTCGATCATATTAGAGGTTTTCAGATAATCAGCATCACCACTGGGTGGCGGTATACTCCACCAGATTGATAGAGACTGTGGTCAGAGGCTCGAACTTGTTTCGGCCTAACTGAAAATGTAACAGCGTGCGCGCTGTACTTTTCACTGCTGTTTTCATGTCTTTCACCATAAAATGTGTTTTTATTTCAAATGGCTTTAAAAGAATTGAAATCATGAGGAAGGATATGAGTGCCATAATATAATAAATGTCTAATGTGGATAAACATGGGACCATCCTGTTTTCAAAGACACAAAGTTAGTAATCAGCAGTCAGCCCTACAAAATGACTCTAACATAATTAATTAATGAAAGAAAATCTGTCAGTATTATGAATGTAATATATAGATAGTATCACAAACAACCTGTTGAACTTGTCTGAACAGTGTTGCAGCAGTGCAGTTATCAGAAAAGCTGAGTAAGGAATCCATGCGCATACAAGACTACGCTGATCCTTTTATGTTTTATAAACCAGGGTCTTATAACAGAGACTAAAATGTAATATCTATACAATACTACTGAAACATTACAAAACAACAAAGTAATGGCAAAAAAGTCAAATTCAGCAGAAATCTGGTTGTGTTGATCTTTTCTGTTAACATGAAAATGAAAGTGCGTGGCGCCGAGTCTGAAATTTACAGCGTTATCACAGGTGGGTTGTTGACGTGATCCTAGTGATTGTTATGGTGACACCACTCTAGGAAACAGTAGTATTTAGCATCATGTAGTATTATTTCTTTGGTCTATTAAGGATAAACAGACTGAATAATTAATATTACAGGCCGTCGTTGTTGGTCATGTTGTTGAGTCTGTAAAAGTCTGCAGTTTTACAATATGAGGGAAATCAGTGCTGTCACGTCAGACGGCCAACGTTCAGTTCAAACTGCTGGAAAGGGAAACAACCTGTTCAAACTGAAGTTGAACAGCTAGCAACACCATCACTCCTGTGTCATATTTGTTGGTTTGTATTTTGGAGAGTTTTACTGTATGTGAAGTCATATTAGGACAAAATGTAACAAGCTACTGTGTTGCAAAAGATGCAAAAAAACCAAACCGTTTTGAGACGATTATTAAAATAGTAGCGATTCATTTACTTTGATTAATAAGCTGACTGCTTCTACTGAGAATATTCGAAATGTGTTGAATTTTTTGAAGAATAAGATAAAACAAGTTTCTCCATGCAGAGCATTTCTTATGAGTCAGCAGTTCTGACGTCTCCTGCAAATGAGAAGTTTTACTCGCTGTCCTGCGTGAAGCAGAAGCAGTCGCAGCATGTTCTCAAAGGTCTCACGGCACCGTTAGTGATCAGTAGATCTCCTCCATGCCTGCTGGCAGGGCTGTGGCTCCCCACACCTACTGTTAGATGGTTACATGTAGAAAGCTTTGGAGCACAAGCGCGCTCACGCACACAGCTGTTCACAGACACACTATATTGCCTGGCTGCTGCCTCTATACTTATGCTCATCTTGCTCATTGCTGCGGTTCTCCTACCGTGTTCTTCTCTTTTTGGTTTGTTTTCTTCTTCTTTTTTCCAGCAGTGGATTTTTCCCGTCTTTTCTCTCTGTCCCTCTTCCCCTCTGTTTTTCTTTCCCTCTCCTCTTCTTGACCTTCTCTTGTCTACGTCTTTCCCATCCCTCGGTCATAACTGTTCAGATTGTAATAACTTCAAAGTAAAAAATAAATAAATAATAACGATGAATCAGGTGGACCAGTCTGGCAAAGCCATAATGATCCACTTGGGAAAACAAATCTGTTGGGCATTTTTCTTGGCCTTCAGACAATAATTGTGAACGGGACGGGCAAAAACAAAAGTGATCAATAGTGGATATCTGGAGGTTCTCTCTGGACAGACTACCAAGTTGCTCCTGATGATTGAGGCGTGCTTGGCTTTAGGATGCTGCAGCACAGCTTGCAGAGGTGGTTACACTCTCACAACTTCATCGTAACCTGCCGCAGGTGTGTGGCTGGGATCAGATGGTGGGAGGTGGAAAAAGAGGAGGAGGGAAAGTGAAGACGAAGAAGTGCGTCCTTCTCTGGTTTCCCTGCGGCTACGTGACCCGGGCTCTTTTGTCCTGTGAGCGCTGACTGACGGCCTGAATGGGGCCCTTTGAAGCAAGCTCCAGTTTTAATTAAGAGGGTTTGCCTCGCCTGGGCTGCTGATCTGTGAAAGCCACGGGGATAAATATTGAATGGGGTTCACCTGCTGGTTACTGCGCCCGAGGGATAAACAGGTGCTTTGGAGGGCAGGTATTTGCCAGGGCCCCTACCTGCACGCGGGGGTGTTGGGTGTCATGTCTTCAGAGTTATTTGCTATTGAAGACCACCCTTACTGGAATGAATTCCAGGCCTCTCGAAAGCTGTGGAATGAGGAGCAAATTGGCGTCCAGCGAGAGGCGCCAGTGATACCTCAGTGATCAACTGCCCGCAGCCCCTGTGTGCCCTCCGACCGGCCCCCCGGAGTGTGAGATTTCCATCTCTCAGGTGTTGGCAGGGAGCAGAGCAACAGTAGCCTACCTGTGAATATTCGGAGGTGTTCGGTAACTCTGCTGACCTCTGTCAGTTCCAGAGCTCTCGCTGCTGCGTGCGCTTACACCTGGCAGAGTAGGTGTGCCCTGCAGGCTTAGTGTAGCAAAGCAGCTGAAAGTACCTCTGTGCCATGCAGTGGACCTGTAAATGCAATGTTAGTAAGAGCATTGATGAGCATGAGGGTATTCCCGCAGGTAGCTGCACACTCAGAGTAACACCAACGGAGCTGCTCCAGGTTCAGAAGAGAACCATGTTCAGGACTATGCTGTTGTTGCTGAGCAGGGTTGTGCCCCTCTTGGCCTTTTTGCCAGTTATCTGCATTCCTTTCTAGGGGGTGTCTGCTCTGGGCTGTGGGGCCAGGCTCGAAGCCTTGTTGTCCTGGCATCTCAGGAGGCAGCCGCGTAAAAGGATACTCTTGTGTCAGCTGTTTCCTGCTGCAGCTTTTCACAAGGGCCTCTATTCATCAGCCAGCCCTTCTGCACTGCTCCAGCCCACCCCTCCTCCCCCCACCTGCCAATGAATAAGTAATTATTGGCCATCTTGGGGCAGGATATTTGGATGGCTCTATTTAACGTGGCAGCAGCAGGTAAGGTGATCGGGCCCGGGGCCCAGACTGTGGAGCGTAACTGTTTCAGCAGAGAAAGGTAACTCGAACTGGTGTTGGGGCCCCGCAGCACCTCTGTTTATTTTTCACATGGGCTCAGGGCTCGTTATCCCTCTTAACTCTGAGAGGCGGCTCTCTCAGGGCTTTCTTTGGCCTGCACTCCAACACACATTGGAATATTTGATGGGCAAACACGTTAGGAAAATCTGAGCCGCCGGGTAACTGGAGCCGCTCGTCTGTCGTCAGAAGTGCTACCTCCTCATCCTCGTGATAAGCTGCAACGCATGACATCACATACCAGTCATTCTTACGTGGATCCTTCATATCATTTGCACAGAACTCTGACTTAAACACGTTAGCCCTCATTTATTTTGTGCTAACGGAAAGTATGATATCACGTAGTGGATAAGGTGTCTGTATCAGCGATGACCTTTTGGTCTTATACTGTTAGCTGGTTAACAATTTAAAGGCTGTCATGTCAGTAAAGATCTCTGCTGCCCTTAAACAGCTTTCTTCATTAACACAGTGTGAAAGCAGTGAACATGGAGCTTTTCATCCTCTGTTAATTCTGAATTGAAGGGATAAAATACTCTTCCTCTGGACTGCAGGCTCTGCTTCTCTTTGTTTTTTCTCATGTACTATGTGTATTATTAGAATAGTGGCTGCTCACATCAAACACAGCATGTTTGAGAAAAGCTTCAGACTGCCCTGCACGCTGCTGTTCTAACCTTGTTTGTGAACTCCAGCAAAAAAGAAGACAAGTTTAAAAGAGTAAGGGTGAATGGAAGGAGCACCCAGGCTTAGTGTAAGATAAATAGTGTTTATTATGATGCTGGAAAAATGCAAAGCTACTCTAGTAGGGCCCAGGAAATCACCACGGAGATGGAAATGAGCTAGATTTCTAGATCGTAGCATTTTATATATATTAAGCAACTGTGACGTCTGCTGCAAATCAGATCAGGTGATCATAGCGTGAGACCATTCAGCATTTTAGCACTAATGAATTCATATAATTTAGACTTTGCATATCCTCTATAAGACTCTTTAAAGACCAGCAGAAACACCTGATGTTGCTGAAGTGAACAAAGATGTGTTTGATGGTTTCAGGGTGGATGATGACACATGAATACCTAATGACTCTCCCATAATTATAAGAAGAGATGCTGCTTCTTTTGAACTTTCGCTACATAAGTAAAATATAATGTTAATAATCTCCAAAACCTGTGTGTTCAGCTGGGGTGTTTCAAAATAAATGTAGCACAGAAAATGTTTCTACTACAAAATGTTATTAAAGAAAAAAGTCTGGTAGAAATAAATGAATTTAAGTGAATATATCAATGTTTTGTAAATCAGCTTTTCATCAGTTCGCTGGGCTACATTTAACTTTATTCTCCGAGAGACTAGATTAATATTAAAGGCTGATAACACTGATAATGATTTGTACTCTCCTGGCTGGAGAAGCCAATGATTTGACATTATATGTGCGAGTGATCAAAGATCAGATGACTTAAAACAGAACAAAAACCGGCCGAACACATAAAGAGGATCAGTTTCATAAGCCATGCCGGCTGCACTTCACCTGTGACCCGGAGGAAAAAAGGATCCACCGCGCCGCCGGACAGCCAATTAGATTTTTTTCAGCCACCACAATGGTGACCTATCATCTTTCAGGGAGAGAAAAGGTCACCTGGTGAAAAGTGACGGGACACCTTGTGTATGGATGCAAATTCTTTATGCTTGCCTGTGTGTTTATCAAAGGAGCAAAAAACGGTGTCGAGGTGGTTGTGATATTCCTCATAATTCATTGAAAATGTTCACATACATAATATTAGGCCAAAGCAAGCAGTGATGGAGAAGAAAATGTGTCTTATTTATTCCAGAAAATCCGGAATTAAGGCAAGAAAATGAGATTTAAGACTGCGATACTAGTGGCCTTTGATTTCTGCTGTGCACCAGTGATATTTATCATAAAGCAACAGTTGGCATTGGCATGTTTTTCAGTTCCTGAAGCAACATCTGGTTCATGCTGTTAAACAAAAGTGCCAAGTATTAGTATTTACATGATTTTCTCCCACTAGGCTCCTGAACCCTGCTCGCAGTGCCCGTGCGCTTCAACCGAGGATGGCGTGAAGGACAAAGAGAAAGATGGCAGAAGAAAGATTCCAAAGATCTTCTTTGGCACTCGCACACATAAACAGATAACTCAGATCACCCATGAGCTGAAGCGCACCCTTTACTGCGGCGTGCCTATGACCATCTTATCCAGCAGAGACCACACCTGTGTCAACCCAGACGTGGTGCCTCACGCAAACCGCAATGAACGCTGCAAGGATCTGCTGGAGGCCAAGGATGTGAGGATGAACACTGACACACACACACGCAGACTCTCGCAGTGAATCTGTCCTGCAACATGTGTTAGGCAGATTCACTCGTTGCTCCAACAAGCTAGCAGCTCACTGCTCATGCCTGTTTGTAATTGCCATCAGTATCGACCCAGAGCAGCAGCAAGAACACACTTTAACACTCTGTCAGAGCCACTGAGGAAAATGCTTTTTAGAGGCATGAGACGCTTGTAGTCTCCTAAACTGGGCAGAGTTTAGGCGCCTGCTGTAAGGAGTCAATCGCAGTGTCGTTGCAGGTGTTTGCTTCCCATATGAAATGACTGTCCCAGCCTTAACCCCTTACTGTGTGTCAATCATACAATGTGTCTTCATCACCTCAGGGTCGGCTCTGGTTACCATGTTGCACACGCTCAGAGATTCATGGTTCAGCTAATGCCATCGTTAGTCATAACGCCCTCCGACTGCTCGAGAGGTCATTAATCCTCCAACTCGCCTTCAGCAGACAGGCCTCGGTGTCAGCAGAGTGTCAGCAGAGTGTCGAGCGTAGCACCGCGCCGTTTCATCCAGAGATTCTTTTATTATTGTGTCAGAGGTTACCTTTGCAAATTCACCAAGGACAGGGTGGGACGTCGAAAGCTTCGCTGACAGAGTAACTGAGGGCTGGTACATGAGATGGCGCTTCTTTACACGCCGCTTACATTCACTGTATGAGTGAGGACATTTAAGCTGCTGCAGCACCTGATCAGAGGCAGCCTCTGAAGTTCTGTATGTCACCTCTGGACAGAGTGGAAACTTGAGACTGAACAGCAACACAGAAATGCAACAAATGTGGAGGAGCTGTGAAAAAGTCAAAGCATTAGAATCAAGTTCAAATCAGATTTTTAATTATTTTTTACTAGTTTTTACAGTTTTGTGTCACATGTTGGAAACAAGAAAGCCAGTGATCCCAGTACGTTGCCAGGGGCTGTGGCTCGGACGATGAATTTCAATAGAAAAGCTTCAAACTTTGAGTTTCAGAAAAATCAAGACTGTTTTTTTCAATGTTTTACGAAATCTTACAGTCCCAGTTTTAGAAATGAACCTTTGAATTGGTAACATATAGGAGATGTTACACCTTGTTGTAACGCTGTGCGTGCGTTGCAGGGAAGGTCCTGCCGCTACTACCACGGTGTGCAGAGGATGCGGGACCAGAACACTCTACAACATGTCCATGGGTTGCGGGCAGCCTGGGACATTGAGGAGCTGGTGACTCTGGGCAAACGGCTTCGCTCGTGCTCCTACTTTGCTGCCCGTGAGCTCATGCAGAGCGCCTGGATCATCTTCTGTCCGTATAACTACCTGCTGGACCCAATGATCAGAGAAAGCGTGAGTAGAGTTTGGAAGAGCGGGAGGAGCAGCTCTGGACTGTCAGCAAAAATATTTGTTCAAGTAACTTCATCAGTATGACCACGTCCAAACTCAGATTTGTAGACGTAAGATGGTGAAACCTGTCCCCTTCATTTAAAAGCTTTACAGGCTGTGGTGGCGTTGCAAACTCCGTATGTAAAACCACGGAAACGAGGCAAAAGTCAACTTAATTTTACAGCATGTTAATGAATCCACATTAAAGAGCTATGACACCATTGTTGTAGTTTCTACTGTTACTATATCTGATCGCCATGTTCCGTTTTCCCTGATATTTGCCTGTGAACCACCACAAACCAGATCGCAGGCCACTGATTCTGTCTTACTTTCCATCTCCACCAGATGGAGATTGACCTGGAAGGCCAGATATTGGTACTGGATGAGGCCCACAACATTGAGGACTGTGCGAGGGAGAGCGCCAGCTACACACTGGACTACAAGAGTCTGCTGATGTCCAGAGACGAGCTGGACAGCATGGTCAACAACAACATCCGACGTTCCAAACACGAGCTGCTCAGGGGCTTCTGCTACAGTCTGATCAAGTCAGTGACTGCATTTGTCTCTCTGCGCATCCTAATGCGAGCGGGCACGCGCACTCAGGATGTCTTTTGATTGTCACTCCAGCTGGATCCAGGAGAGCCAAAGCCTGATGTCTGAGCGCGGCTATGAGACTGCCGGTAAAGTCTGGAGTGGGAAGGATATAGTGGGCATCTTTCACACTTTGGGCATCACTGCAGACACCTTCAACATTCTGAAGGTAGGCACAGCATATCGACCAGAATGGGCAGCACCAAACGGTTCATTCATTCTAACATAGAACAGCCTGTAATCATGGTGAAGCTAACATTGCCAGGCTGTCGTGTGGACAACACTGTCCGTTCTTGCGTTTTCTGTGTGACAGCAAAACCTGGCAGCAGTCTTGGAGAAGGAGGAGCGTGTTGGAGTCGTTAATGGGAGAGAAGACGTGGTGCAGATTCCAACCATCAGCCCACCTACTGCAACTGTGCTCAAAAACCTCTTCATGGTGCTCGACTTCCTCTTCAGAGACAGCTGCAGGTCAGACACACGCTCTGGATGTGAGCTAAGTGATGCCGCTGCCATAGATGAATCCTTCTTGTTCTGGTTTAACGGTTTAATCGCTTGTTCTGTGTGTGTTTGTAGATTTGCTGACGACTATCGTGTTGCTCTGCAGAAGAGCTATGCTTGGACTAACCAGGCTCCCCCCGATGTCCCCGACGCCCAGGGCTTTATAGTTCGGCCACGTAATAGACGCCAGACTGTCCGGGTCAAGGCTGAAGTCCTGACGCTGAGCTTCTGGTGCCTTAACCCTGCTGTGGTGAGACGGTCGACTGGGCTGACTTAGATTGATAACTGATTACTGAGGCTACACACAGGAAAAAGCCGTAACTTTAATGAAAGAAGGATTAGCAGTTTGTCCATCACATCAGGTGTTTTGGCCGTGCATACATGATCTCTCTCTGTGTTTGAACCTCCAAGGCTTTTTCTGACCTGAGTGGGTCTGTGCACAGCATTGTGTTGACCTCTGGAACCCTGTCACCCATGGACTCCTTTTCCTCTGAACTTGGTGTGAAATTCTCCATCCAGCTGGAGGCCAACCATGTGATCAATAAGTCTCAGGTGAGTGGGTTTAGCCATAAACCTCATTATGAAAAACTATGTAGTGAGAGGCTCCACAAGGCTTTCTGACCTCAGCTCTAATTTAATGATAGCATGCTACGACTAAACAAGACTTTACATGTCTTTTCTCCACTTCGGCTGTTCCACTTTTGTCCAGCAGATGTCAGCGTAACCTAACAAATTGGAGCACAGTTGATTTATTGTGGATCTTCTTAATACGATTACAGGGAATGCTGACAAGCTGACCTTTGATAACTTAGCAGACTAATCAAGCAGCACACATGAGAGTGGAACAGTGCGTCACGTTTGTGTCTCTGATAAGAAATATGTCTGATCTCTGCAGGTTTGGGTGGGCACTGTTGGCACAGGACCTCAAGGCAGGAAGCTCTGTGCCACCTTTCAGAACGCAGAGACGTATGCCTTCCAGGATGAAGTGGGTGGCCTGCTGCTCCACGTCTGCCAGGTCATGGCCAAGGGTGTGCTCTGCTTTTTGCCTTCCTACAAGGTAAATGTGCCGTTTAAACCTTCTCCTCCCAAACATGCAGTTAGTAAATATCACCTTTTAGCGTTTGTACATTTGCAACGCTTCTTTACAATGCCTTCACAATTTTTTTCATAAAATAGTTTATGAACTTAATATTTTAATAATTAAAATAATTGTAAACTCCCACAGGGGTCGATTATCTGGTTAGTAGTTTTATTAGTTACTAGTAATTCCTTTTACTCTCTTCACTGGCTCCCTGTTAAATCCAGAAAGTCTTTCTCTGCACATACAGTCTTAAATAATCAGGCTCCAGCTTAAAGACATCTTAAAACCATATCACCCCAACAGAGCACTCCGCTCTCACGCTGCAGGTTTACTCGTGGTTCCTAGAGTACAGTGGAACAACGACTTACGAAATTAATTCGTTCCAGAGGGTCTTTCCTAAGCTAAAATTTTCGTAAGTAGAAGCACCTTTTTCCATCGCCTTTTGAGTGAGGCGATGCTGGCTGAAGACGAAGTTCTTGGTGGAGGAAGAGGTGGCGGAGTTGAAGAAAGCATACGTATGTGCACATGTACATAACATTATGGAATTTAATTAAATTTTTGACATTTTCTATTTTATCTATTTCGTTAAGATCAAATTTATTTATATAGCAGATTTCAAACAGCCGATGCTGCACAAAGTGCTTAACAATATAAAAATGGTATTAAAAAGCAACAATGTAATACAATAATAACAGTAAAAAAACAATAATAGGACAATAAAAGAATTAAAACAATAACTAAACTAATTCAAATAAGACCAGAATGCCTGGGTCA